TGTGGGCACGGTATGGGGTGAGGGAAGGCACTGTGGGCACGGTATGGGGTGAGGGCAGGCAGTGTGGGCACGGTATGGGGTGAGGGCAGGCCGTGTGGGGGCCTGGTGCGGAATGAGGGAAGGCCGTGTGGTGCGGGATGAGAGAAGGCACTGTATGGGAACAGGGCAGGCTGGGCGGGGTGAGGGCAGGTTGCGTGGGGGCTGGTACGGGATTAGGGAAGGCCGCGGGATGAGGGCAGGCAGTGTGGGCACAGTATGGGGTGTGGGCACGGTATGGGGTGTGGGCACGGTATGGGGTGTGGGCACGGTATGGGGTGTGGGCACAGTATGGGGTGTGGGCAGTGGCTTCTCCTTGATGGATTAGATCCGACAGATGCACCGCGCTAATCAATAACACGTGACTACTATGGCGCTAAGTATCGTATGGATCAGATATAACCGATATCACAGAGTAAAACGCGTCTCTCGTTGTAATATCTCCCGCAGAGATTCCGCGCAGATTGCTCATTAAACGTCCACCGGAAATTGATGCAAAAAAAAAAGTGGCGCGAGATATAAACAGCCAATCGGTGACGAGTCCTTCTTATAAAACTATCGGTGATCAATACAAATAAGAGCCGCATGGCACTCGATCAATACAAATATCTCATCGGATGTAAGACCATCGTGTGCCGGGCTAGACGAGGACAATTCAGTGACCAATCAGAGTACGCGCTTCACAGATATTAGAACGATCAATTACCCGATCAATCATTACCCGATCAATCCATATTTTTGTGATCAATAATAAGTCCTCCTCATGTCTGTGGTGTGCAAACTCCAGGTGGCCGTGACACACACGCCGCACTCGCCAGACTTCCACAATCCCGGATCACAAGCACAGTGAACGCTGCCTCCTCCTCTCCGTGCTCTGTCACTAGGAAGGTTCCGGTACCGGTCCGATCCCCGGAGAGGAGAATAAACACAAATTGTGTCATGTGCCAAAAACAGAGTTTTATGTAAAAAAAGATTAAAAACACCGACAAGTGTCCCAGAAAAAAATATTCCAAACCGTCCCGGACAAACGCGTTGAATAACCACACACGTAAAATCCTTCCGGCTTAGCGTGTCCCAACCTCAGAGCGTGTCCCCATGTGATAGCAAAAGAAGTGACAGGTCCTCTTTATGGAGACATCAGGGGTCTCCAAGACCCCCTAATGTCACCTAAGGACCCCCAGAAGAAGCTGATGAAGGCGAGATTGGCTCCCTCAGCTTCTCTCCAGCGTCTGAAGCCGGAGAGTGACACGAGAATGCGGGAAGTGCTGTCATATACAGGAAGTGCTGTCATATACAGGAAGTGCTGTCATATACAGGAAGTGCTGTCATATACAGGAAGTGCTGTCATATACAGGAAGTGCTGTCATATACAGGAAGTGCTGTCATATACAGGAAGTGCTGTCATATACAGGAAGTGCTGTCATATACAGGAAGTGCTGTCATATACAGGAAGTGCTGTCATATACAGGAAGTGCTGTCATATACAGTGGAGGGAGATGGTGTACTGACCTCCCTCTGATCCCCTGTGACAGAGCCACCATGCTGGTCCTGGGCTCGCACCGGGCACAGTGGAGCCCGGGACCAGCGGGGGGGGGGGGGGGGGGGGGGCGCGCGCGCAC